CCCCGCCCCTTCTTCCTGAGGCAGATCACGGGTGACTTTCACCATGGGCCAGAATCCTCAGACAAAAGAGTGGCCAGTGACTTTCCACCTGGAACCTTCGTTTGGCCCTCCTGGGGCAGGGGCTGGCCAAGGTACACACCATCATATCAGGAGACCACAGAAGTCCCTTTTCTCTTTCAGGGTATGAGAATGGCCTAGAGATGCCAGGCGTTGTGAGCCAGTTAAAGGCAAGTGGATGACTTGAAAAGGCAGGTGAATACCACTAGAGAGGCATCCAAAGGGCGTCTGTGTTCCAGGCTCCCCCAGAGGCCAGCACTTAGATGCCTTACACAAATAGAACAAGGTAGAGAACTCTCTTCAGAGGGAAAGAAAGACCTTTAAAGTAGGTCTTTCCTGCTTCTGTAGAGAAAGGACTGCTAGAGAAAGACTTCCGTCAATGCCTTAGCAACTCAGAGCTGCGGCCAGGGGGAATGAAGCCACTGTGGGCAGAGCAGGGAAGGAGGAAAACCCCGCCCACAAGCCATGCTGCAGAAAAAGAAAAGCGGCCCAGAGGCAGGGTTATGCGCCCAAGCTAACTGGACTAGCAGGTGCAGTGGGACAGAAGGACTAGGTTGCCTATTTATACCTGTAGCTCCATTTCAATACCAGAAAAATTGGATCCTGTGGCAATAAGGACCCACAGTCCCACCAGCCCTGCGCCACCTCCGTGTGGGGGGCAATGGGCATCAGCTGCACAACCAGAGTGGAACTGGCTGCCAGTGTCTGGTATCCTGACAGAGTCATAGTGGGTACACATGTAATGGCTATCTCTGCAACAACGTGTCATTAAAAATTCAAAGCTTTGAGCAGCAAGACATGAAGGCATTGTGTACCTCCTGATAACATGCACTAAGAAGGACACATCACGTGTACGGGATTCTTGTCAAAAAAGCATAACCTCAGTCTAATCATGAGAAAACATCAGACAAGCACAAATTGAGATATCTGCACATTAATTGGCCAGTACTCATCAAGGGTGTTAAGGCCACAAAAGACAAATAAAAGCTGAGGAAGTATCACAGATTAGCTGGGGCCAAGGAGACAGAAGAGGTAAATGCAATGTGGGATCCTGGACTGGCCCCTGGGACACAAAAAGGCCATTAGGGGCAACACTGATGGAATTAGATTACGGTCACTAGTTACTAGTGTCACCCCAGTTACTAGTGTGTCATGCCAGCGTTAATCTCCTGGTTTCGACCATCACACTACAGTTATGTAAGTGGTCAACATGAGGGAAAGCTGGATGAAGGATGTACAGAAACCCTCCATAATACTCTTGTCACTTTTTTATAAGTCTGTAATTATTTCAAAATGAAGAGTAGAAGGCATTGGGATGAGGGGCCCCTTCTGGATCAAGTTGGACTTAGGAGACATAACTGAACACAACCAGTGGGTCCTGGGTAGATCCTGGCTATGAATAAACTAACAGTTGAAGACGTTGGGAGACAATTTTGGAAATCTGAACATGGACTTGGTGTTACACGACTGCAGAGAACCGCTGCTAATTTTGTCTGGTGTATAAGGCACTGTGGTTAAGAAGGGAAAGCCCTTAAAATAGGACTGTATTGAGGGTTTTTGAGGGGAGGGGGGGAATGTCCTTTTGTCTAAAATTTAAATAAGCAGAAAAGAAACAGATAAATTATAAAATATCAACAATAGTTATACTTTACAGTATAGGGGATGGGTGCTGCTTATATTAATTACTTTTCTGTATGTTTGAAAGGTTGCATAAGAAGTAACAAATATGTGTACAGACATGGGCACACACACATACAAATGTATACACACACACGCAAACAGACATGGAGCAGTTATCTTTCCTGTTTAGATGTGACTCTACTGTGACTATGTCCCTAACACTTCATCTCAAAAAGCCCACTGGCAACATCCGAGTGGTTCCTCAGAAGCCACAGGCCTCTGTAAGGGACACAGTCAGTCCTTGGAAGCATTCTAGAATATCTCTTTGAGGAAAGCCATCAGAACCAGAAATCCATTCTTTGAAATACCCAGAGTTGCAGAAAACCCTTATCTTTTGAAGATGTATTGATGATTTTGCAAGAACCAAAGGTCACACAGAAGCAAACCTGAGTACTTTTGGGTGATTTAACGGGCAGCCGCAGTGTGGGTACAATGGGCCAAGATGACGAAGTGCCGACAAGGAGTCTCTCATGCAGCAAGGCAGCGCCCAGAGGGAAATCTCCCACCCTGGAAGGAGCAACTCACCTCTCTGTCACAAGGGAGTCAGACTTGTAGCTTCCCGGTCACACCGAGGACACATTTGGAAACTTCTCCCTGTCTAAACAGGCTTAGCGCAGACCTCCGCCTCTGCTCTCCTACATGACCTCCCCTCCCACCCTTGAAGCCCCACAGCCAGAGGGACAGTACTTACTGGGGCACGATGGTGATCTGGACAAAGCAGATGAAGAGGAAGACAAGCGAGGCACATGCCACATAGGCACCGAATCGGTCATCCACCTGCTTGGAGTACTGAGAGGGATGTGCGGGGTGAGAGGGGCAGAGACACCTGGCCCCGTCCACTCCAGCCCCGCTCCACCCCAGACACTCCTAAGACCTGGAGACCTGGAAGAACCAGCACTAGCCTTGGTGCTCAAGAAACCAGTCCAAAGCACTATAAAGTGGTGCCTGTTGGGGAGGACAGTTGAATTGTGTCAAACCAGAAACTTCCTGTAGGTCGGGTCACCATGAGAGTAACTCGTCACGATCATGGCTCACATCACGGAGCGCCATCTGCATGCTAGGACACATATCAGGTCTATGGCATCCTTATGCATGGACGTAGGTACTGGACCTATATAGCTGCTACTTCCCAGGTGAGCGAGCTGGGGCTCAGAGAGGACATGAGGCTCACCCAAAATCACAGAGCTCGTCTCTGAGGGCCCAGCTCCCAGCCCCAGCTCCTCCCAAGACACCAATAGGCAGTGGGAACAGAGGCTGTGCTGGCACAGAGTCACCAGAGAGGGTGCTTTGTGACTCAGTTCCATTAACTGCTGGTGAACAGTGCTTGCCTCCTAGGATTGCCTCACTGGACGATGACCTGAGTTCACACAAGCCCGTTTTAACTCAACACTGGGGAAACGCCGTGGCGTGGGCAAAGACCCTGGACCAAGGTCTGGTTCTGGCTCTTTCACTACTTCACTGGTGGCCTAGAGCAAGTCACCCAACCTCTCAGTCACAATTTAAGGAGATGGGACAAAGAGATCTCAACTGACTGCCTCTTCCAAATGTTTTCCAGTGTGCCAGAGGCAGCAGGGGGATCCACTGGTGATGATAATGATAGCAATAATAGCAACAATAAAAATAACATAAACAGCAATGGACATTCACGGAACATCTATGTGGCCAATACTATCTTATGTGCTTTCTATATATGGATTTATTTAATGCTCACTATGACCCTATGAAGAAGGTATGTTAAATATCCCCATTTTCCAGATAAGGAAATGGAGACATGAGGAAGTGAAGACTTCTCTCTTCTGACCATGAAAGTCCCCCTAAAATCTCCATCTACTGGGTAGCATGGCATCGGAGCAGAGGGAACGGAGACAAAGGGCTCTTTCCATGGTGATGGAGAGCAGAAGGGAGCCTTCTATTGTCCTGTCCCCTCCCCCTGGTTCTGGTTCTGCCCAGGGCCTCGTTCCCACCCATGGTGCTGTACCTTCTTCTCTAAGTCAGGCTCCCTGAAGGTCAAGAGGAACTTGCGGACATGCTCAGACCGCAGCCTGTCGATGCTCCTGGCGTCAATGGCACGGCCCAGAAATTCGTCCACTTCATCCTCGGGGTTTGCACTTTCCTGGGCGTTCCTGGGGAGCAAGACATGCAGACACACAGCAGGCTGACCACCAGGGGGCGCCGCAAGAGGGCCCACTTGAGCCCATGCACCCAGGCCCATTAGAAACGCCCTAATAAGGGCTGGGGAAGCTGGGACTGAGATCCGGAACCCAAGTCCCCCCGCTTTTTAACTGCACACATACACAGAAAGCTGCCAGTGTCTGACCTTCTGGCTGAAGGGCCTCACCGACAGTAAGGCTTTTCTGACTCTACTCATATATTATTATAGTATAATATGACTTATCATCAAAGTTTTCATTGTTTTTCCCCACAGCTAACAGTCTCTGCTCTTCACTCTCCAGCGGTACCGTCATCCTGAAATAAAGGCCAAGATCCAGAGGCAAGACTGCTGCCCCAGGGGCTGTGAGCTACCCCGCTGCTTTAACCCGGCCCAGGGCACCCTCTGGGAAGCAGGTGTCATGATCAGGGTGCCAAACTAAAAGCCCATCACTCAAGGTGATGCCTAGTCCTTGAGTGGGGTTTCTGACAGCCCCCAAGAACCAGGAAATGGAAGAGAAAGAGGAGCACATTCCCTCAAGGCACCAGGATGTGGCCAGACCTGGTGACCAACGTGCAAGGTCTGCATTTTGCTGAGAGCAGCAGGCGCGTGTGTGTGCGTGCACACAGGCATGTGAAGAGCATGCACGTATGCAGTTGTGAGTGCACACGTATGTCCACGCATGTGTTTGTGGGAAGATTACAAACGGGCAGTGCCGAGCCCAGCCTCTCTGCCCTGGGCTCCTGGGCTGCCCATCTGTCAGCTGCAGTGCTCTGGTCATTCTCAGCCAAGGCTGTGTGGCCTCACTCCCCAAGCAATGCGGGGAAACTGAGCTATAAGACGAATGTGGGCCTATCCCCCAGGCCAAGAGAGCAGGAATAAAGAAGGGCATGTTACTCACTTGTCCTTGGGGTCTTCAAAGCCCTAAAAAAGAGGGACAGAGAGAGAAGGAAAGAAGTATGAGAACAGAGAGGACGGAGAACTGAGGCTTCCAGAGGGACTACGGGAAGGCTGCAGCTCATTTACTCTCTACGGCTCACCGAGGAGTCTGCACAGAGAGAGGACTGTCACCCAGGAGTTTGTCCTTCCTTCCCTCAGTGAATACAGCCAGGTTCTTCCTATGGGATACGCTCTGCTACGTGCTGGGGGCACACTGTGATTTCATGTCGCCCACTGGCAAAACTCACGTGTCTAAGCTCTTCCTGTCCCCACATCCAATTCCCCAACTCCCCTTGCCCCAGAGCCTGGGCTTCGTGGGTCCCTCTCAATTCTACCACTTATTCAGATGGAATAAGAGAAACCATTAAGTGACCACTGCCCCCACCCCAGCCTCACTGAGCACACAAAATCTGGGAATTCACATGTTTTGAGCTTAAGAAAGTTAAGCTCCAGTTACCTGTAACAGCTTTCCTAGCGTATGAGAACTAGCATGTTCTTACAAAAAGCCAGGATTGGTTGGGGTGAGAAACCTGCGTTCCATGGGTTTGACTGCCGCTCACATACACAGGGCATGGGTGAGTGTGAAGGTCCCCTACCGGTCTCCAAACTCAAATCCCTATTTATCTACACAGTCCACAAAGGGACAGATGTGTCTCGGGGTGTGACCAGCTGTGGCAGAATGAAGGGTGGGTTCCCTAAAGTGGCAAAGGGGTGGAATCCAAGAGGTAGTGGAGGAGGTAGCAAGCAGCCCCAGGGCTGTGTCAGGTAAGGCTCCAGTTGCCAGGGCAAGGACCGAGTGTGACCTGTGGTCTTTTGGGGCCCAGCGTGGGGCACACTGCTGGGCAAACGTGGAGGTCAGTAAGCGCCAGGTGAACCCAAGGCCAAATGAACACACCTCTCTTTATGCACACTGCAGACAGTTTGAAAATGCAAAAAGCATTCATGAGCCAGAGTTGCCAGGAACTAAAACAGATGTGGGGTCCACACCACACCCCATGTTCTCTTTTCTACCCCCCCCCCCCCAGTGGAGGGCCCCAGGGGCCTCGGCAGCCTCTAGTGGCACATCCAAGTGCCCAACTGTGGACCCTGAGCTCCTCCGAGGATGCCAGACCCTTCTTGTCCTCTGAGAACCATCGGGCCCTCTGTCCAGGCTGTAAGACCCGGCCCACTTCACCATCCCAGCCCCAGGCTGGAGGAGTTGGTGTTAGTCAAGTGGGTGCTCCGCCTAGGGAGCAGGCCCAAGCTGGGTGCCCCCCGCGATCCCTCAGAGCACGAGCTTGAGTGGGCAGCACAGGGCCTGGACAGGCCAGCTCTCCGCAGAATATGGTGAGGCGCTGGCACTGAATTCCACCACGGGGGCCAGCAAGGATTTTACTCCGGGACTGAGGACAACCAGGCTGTACTGTGCTTATGCAGGTCTCTGCAGCTCAGAAATCTACCCGACACGTTTTTAACAAACCTATTTCTGACCTTCCCCTACGCTCCTTTGGTCATTTACTGGGGTTGGCTGGGGACTGGGTCCGGTGGATGCCATGTTAGTGTGGAGAGCTCAGCACTGGGTTAGGGTGTCGGCAAAAGAACCTTGGCAAATGGTTGTAAAGAACACAGTCCCGCAGATGGGTTCAAGTCTCACGATCTGCTTACTACTTCTAGAACAACGGTCCTCAGCCTGGCTAGGAGGACCCTCACATGGGTTCTGCCACAGCACTTCTGGGGAGCAGCTCAGCTCAGGGGGTCCTGTGTGGTTCCCAATTCCGGTCCCTTGGCCCTAAAAGCAGGAACAGAGGCCATGGCCCCTCGGCTCATCCACACGGAGGTTCGTACGCCCTCTTGGCAAGCTGCTCGTCTCCTCTGGGCACTTGGGCTCAGCCCGCTGCCCCCACAGAACGCAGAGCTTCCCTGGTTAGATGAGCAGATGCCCCTGCATGCCCTTCCTGTCAACCTTCTTATTAGTAAGTACCCTCAGGGACTTCACAACACTTGTGCCTAAGCACATACCAGAGCAGCTCGTCACTACGTTTTAAAAGCTGAGTAAAAGCCGAAACAAGATTTAAAGAAATAAGAGTGCTGCCTACAGGTTAGTACCTTTCTTAGTGTTCTCAGACACCGCTTAACCTAATCCTCCACCCCCACCATCGGTGGAAGTCAGGGAAGCATCTCTCCTTTTGAGCATCTTTACCAAAGGTTTCAGGCAAGTTTAACACCAGAAGTCAGTGGTGTGCCTGGCGGCTGGCAGAACTACCCCCTCAACAGCCTAGACACTCAGACTGGGCGGGCTGGGGGCTGGAACTGGTCCTTTGACGCCAGCCTCTGGCGACTCTGCTCGGCCAGGATGAGGGATGGGAGTCTCTTCTCCCAAAGGCTGCTGCAGAGGCGTCCCCAACCCTGTTCTTCCACACACCTTCCCATCCCTCTGTGCTGGCGAGGCAGCTGATGCCACGGAGGAGCCTGGCAGCCAGTCTCCCCCGAGACGGCCCTTTCCCCAGTTACAGCCCTTCCGCTGATGGTTCCAAGGCTCCTGGTCCTAACAATGATTAATACATCTGCTAAACCGGTGCTTATGCTCCAAACTGTCTCCTTTGGGACTCTGAAATAACTGAAGACTCTGCTTACACCAAGTATCTCCAAAGAAAAAAGCTTTCCAACAATTTTAAACAGAGAAAGCCCACCAGGCACCTTTCCTGCCTGCTTGTGGCTCTTCTTCCTCTCCTCTCCCCGCCTAGTCTCCTGCTCAGCTCTGTCCTCTCCCTCCTGTCTTTCTGCTCCTCTTCCCTCCCACCTGGATGAGAGCCTCCCTCTTTGCACCCAGCTCTCAGTGGCCCCACACTATGCTCACCCCCTCTGGACCCAGTCACGTGGATACAGAATCCACAGCAGATTATTAAAGGGCTAGGGTGAGAACAAAGAGGTCCACCGACTGCTCTTTGCCTTGAGGAGGGCCCCCCAGGGAGAGGGAATGTGGCTAGTGGCCTGGGCGGCACTGGCCAGACCTGTGAAGTCCAAGTTCAAAGCCCTGGGGGAAGGCTGGGTCCCTCCCACTCTGTTCCCTCATAACCTTCATGTCCTGCAAGTTGCTTCTTGACTGTCAAAAACTAAAATAGAGGTCTTGACTCAATTCATTTTTTGATCTTACACATTTTCCTTGAACCTCTGTCATCTGCTATTTGCCAGTTAGCAAGCAGCAGAGTGGCTGGGTCCCCAGCCTGTCCCTGGCTCAGTCAGCTGACTCAGCTGGATTTTCATGGAGTTTATCTCTAGTCCCTGCTGCTGTAGCTAAAACCTGCTCCAACCTACAGACCCCAAATTGGGGATCCTAGTGCTGGCGCGCCCCACCTCATTCTTCTACCCTGGCGCGTGCATGTGCGCGCTCTCTGTCTCTGTCTCTCTGTCTCTCTCTCTCTCTCTGTCTCTCTCTCTCTCTCTCTCTCTCTCTCACACACACACACACACACACACACACACACACACATACACACACGGCTCCCCACACCCTGTTGCTTCATCCACCCCTCTCTCACGGTGGGCGACTCCCATGGGAACCAGGCTGCTTGTGAGCCAAGGAGTTTGTTCGGACATGGATGCCAAACTCTTTGATAAAAACAAAGAAAAACACTGCTGCCAGACCCTGACTTCTGTTACCCCTCTCCCTCTTCCTCTCACCCTCTGAATTCTTTGTCATCACTGACAGAACCCAGGCAGCACATCCTGAATTAGCCTGTTCTTGGTGTGTGTTTAGGGACAGTGGGGGGGTGGGGGGGGTGTCTGTCCTCCAAGGCAGTTGGGGTCCCGTGTCCCCCACCCCTTCCATGGCCTCTGCTCACCCTGCAGAGTGCCCCGCAGTGAGCAGGGGCACTTCTCAGCACAGAGGGCAGAGGGGACCATCACCTGGCACTTCACCAAAAAGTGCTGAGATGGTCTCTGAGCAACTGAGCCAAAGGATGTGTTTCAGCTGCCCAGGAAGGGCACCTGATAAGCTGGTGCCCACCAGACAGTGCCAACAGACCACTGGAGGCTCTGGCTGGACTCAGGGGCTGCTTCCAGCCTGTGAGACTCATGGAGAGAGCCCAGGGCCAGAAATCAGGCACTCTGGCTCCTAGTCCAAAGTGGATTCTGTGGCTCTCCAGGTGCCATCAGGCAACACAAGGGGTCTGACCCCGTCCTCACACTCAAGGAAGGCCCTAGCCCTGGAGAGTACTGCCCACCCACTGTTCCCCCTGCTACTCACCATCCGCTTCATCTCCTTGGACACCTGGTTGCCCCCTAGGTGGTTGTAGAAGGGACGCTCAGCCCCCCAGTGAGGCGGGTTGTGCCCAATGGAGTTGGTTCTCTGACGATTCATCTTGGCGATCATGGCCTTTTCTTCTTTCTGGGAGAGCCAAACACATGCATCAGTCTGTGGGCAGAGCCTACCAGGTGAGCCCAAGTGGGCAGTTTCTCATGGCTCCCAGGTGCCTGGCCAGGTAGGGGCTGAGGCAGGTGCCCCTCTCTTCTGTGCACATCCTGGAGCCTAGACATCTGCCAGGATCCTAGAGCTCACTGGAGAAAGCATCTTAAATCCCTCCAAATTTCCCAACATAGCCCTAGCTGGCTTAGGTGGGAGGTTGGTCTTATGAGAAAGCAAAGAGGCTTTCCCAATTGTCATTGGCATAGAATTGTCAGGGGTGGGCAGAGCTTGGGTCTGAGGTGCTCAAGGTGAAGGAGAGAGAAGAAACCTAGGATTCCAATCCACTCAACTTATCCCAAACAACCATGTTCTGCCAGAGGGTGCAGTAAGACAGGCCCTGCTGCCCAGAAGGCAGCTCGGAGAGGTTTGGGTCACTAGAGCTTGAGATGCAAAGGCCGATAGACATTGTACAAATACACAAGCGGGGCCTCAGCTGGCTCCCCACGTGTCAACCATCATCTCTGTCTGTCCATCCATCCAATGGGCTCCAGGTGGAGGGCCGGAGAGGCCCTGGGGAGACCTGAGGCAGCCTTCCCCTCAATTCCCTCTCTGAGCCTGGGAAGGGAGCCCATAAGACCAGGGACACAGAGGGGAGGGGACACAGCCTGCTTCAGCTGACATTGCTCTGGATACGGGGTGTCACTCTCTGTCTCCATTTCATCCTTTCTGGACCGCTTGTCAAGAAGCTGGAAGAACACACCCCATAGAACCCAGGGTAGAAGGTAACAGCTCTCAGCCTGGGTGGGGCAGGAAGGTGGGGCTGAAGACCTCATCAACCTAACAGAGGGGAGGGGGTGGGAGGAAGGCCTGGGAGGAGGTCAGTTCACTTGAACTATAGTCAAACAGCAAGCAAATGTTCAAAAATGTGACAAATAAGCCACCGGGTGCTCTCCCCAGAACGTATACATCCTCCCATCCCTCTTCATGGTCTGTGGGGGGCCTGGCACAGCTCCCTGGAAGGGGCCCCACAGCCAGGACCTGTCTCCAGGGCTGCACTGCTGCGGCGATGAGGTGCCCGTGTGATGTCCCTGTCAGGGTGGACACCTGTCCCAAGGAGCCCTGTATCCCTTTAAAAATCAACCTCTGCTGTCACTCAACACTTTCTCTGGACTTTTCTCCCAGCTTAATTTTATTTTTAGTCTAATGTCTTTTTTTTTAAATTTTTTTACATGTTTATTTATTTTTGAGAGAGAGAGAGAGAGAGAGACAAACAGACAGAGCATGAGCAGGGAAGGGGCAGAGAGAGAGGGAGACACAGACTCTGAAGCAGGCTTCAGGCTCTGAGCTGTCCGCACAGAGCCCAACACGGGGCTTGAACTCATGAGCCATGAGATCATGACCTGAGCCAAAACCAAGAGTCAGACGCTTAAACGACTGAGCCACCCAGGCACCCCTAGTCTAACTTCTTAAGAAAGGAAGAGGGAAGATTTCTCTGTCAAAAGGTTCTGACCAACAGGTCAGTTCAATGGAAAGATTCATCAGTAAAAGGCATTTTAATCTAGGGAGAAATAGAAAATGTTCTCTTCATTCACTTTAAAAATTAAGAACATGGAACATGACACTATTAAAAATAGAATGCCAAAGTCTGCTAATAATTCAGTTTTATATTTGGGCAAGTGTGGGATGGGACAAAGTGAGGGGGAAGAAGGGGACTATAAGGTGAAAGAGGGAAAGAACAGAGGTCCTCTCGAGAAATAAAGGTCTGCAGGGACAGAGACCTATTGAGACGAAGAGATAGGGAAGGAACGAATCCACCTAGTTCACGCAACAGACAAGGAGCAAGGCAGAGATGAAACCAATGGCTGGAGATACAGTAGATGGCGGACAGACCTCCTAGTTGTTTTATTTCCATGCCCTGGCCTACTGCTGTGTTGCTAACTGATTTGAGGCCTGTTGCATTTTTGCAACAGAAGCAAAATGAAAACATTCCCTCTTTGCTGTCAGCCGTCACAAGGACTTTCTAACTCTCATGTCCTTCCCAAGATGCAGGAACCACGACCGTGTGAGAAATTCACGACTTGACTCAAGGGAAGAGTGAGAAGACAAGGAAGCGGCTGCCAAGAAACATTCCTCCCCAGAAGAAGAAGGCCGCGCAACCCCTGGAGCCCTCCCCCGCCCACCTGGCCCACCCGGTCCACCCGGCCCCTCAGCCCTTGGCCCAACCCGCTTCTGGGTGCAGCGCAGGATGAGGAAGGTCTCAATGCTGTGCTCCTTGAGGTAGGCGTTGCGCTCGCCCCCACAGCCTGGCTCCACCTCGTAGTCACCATTCAGGTAGTTGAGTGTGGCCTTGGTGATGTGGATGCGCCTGCAGGTGGGGAGAGATGCAGGCAGAGCAGGGCAGAAAACATGACTTCAGAACTCCAGTCCCCACACAGAACCACACTGCAACTGACTTGGCCACAGTTCAAACCCCAGGGCCCGAACCCTGGCTCAGATGCTAAGCCCAACTTAGATCCCAGCCTCAACACACTGCATCTCTCCACTGTTCAAGGTAGACCCCTTCCCACCTGATCATACCACATCACATCTACATTATGTCATCCTCATCACAGAATACATCATTAGCCTGTCAGGAGGACACAGTCTCAGTCTCACAAATCTCACAAACCCGCTCAGGAGCCAGCAGTGGCTCTGGCTGAGTACACGACTGAGTCCAGATCCCCCAGCCTGGCACCAATGTTCTTTTAACACAGGCACTGTTTTTCCCACTGGTCCCTAAGCGGTCATGTGCTCTACTTCCATTCCTTGGAAATACCGTGTTTCCTATACCTGTGCCTGTCCTCGCTGTAGTCTCTCAGCCTGGCCCTCTCTCCACTCCCACCTTCCTCACCTGTCCGAATCCCGCCCAGTCACCCTGGCCAGCTCACATCCTTTCCATCCTGGCCACCCCTGAAAATTACCCACAGTTCCTCCCTCCTCCAGAACTCTACCCCATCTATCACATCACACAACAAGTTGCCCTATTTTGTGCAAATATCTTCTGGGTAAAGCCCGGGCAAAGGTTGAGAGGCTGCTCCCTACAACTTGCCATGGTGTGGTGCAAGTAATTTGTTAAGGAGAGGACCTTCTACTAAAATTCTGCCAAACCCATCCTGCCCACCCCCTGCCCCATGCCTTGGGACAGTCACCCTGAGTGGGGCTGGGTGGGAAGCGAAGTCTGGGCCCTCACTCACCCTGCCTTGCCTCCAGCTTCCATGTGGTTGGCCAGCGTGACGTCATTAGACCAGACGTCGAACTGCCACTTCCTGAGACCAAGGACACCGCAGTGTACTCGCCCGCTGTGAATTCCCACGCGCATGTTCACGTTCACCCCAGTCACCTCCCGGACCAACCTGGGGATGGAGCAGGGGTAAGGCTGGGAGAGGGTCTGGGTCCAGGCACACAGAGTGGGGGTGGGGCTGGAAGGCACGGGGTCGGGGGTGTGACAGAAGGTGCAGGGGTCAAAGAGTCATTTCTCTCTGGTCCAGCCCAAATTCAGAGTCTGAGACTGTTCCACCTGACGGGCACCGCACAGGCTGGGCCCTGGTGCTCAGGTGCTGTAAGTGAGGCGTTGCTTCCCGGCATGGCCACAAGGGGGCACAGCGCCTCACACTACAACCCAGGACTCACTGCTTCCCCACTAAGGTAACTAAGGTTCTCTTTGCTACCCTCAAGTCAATTCAGCTGTGTTCCGCATATTAGTGCCCGACCGAGACAGGGAAGTTATAGCCGCTTCAAACCCCATTCATAGAATACTCGGATCTGTCCACATTGCTGCTGCTTCTTGGACATTAGCAGGATAACGGAGAAAGGTGGTTAACTATTTCAAGAGAGGACACATGTCCTGCTCAGGAGAGAAGGGGAGCCTGAGCAGGTGCAGGGGATCAGGGATGTTCCATGTGCTGGAAGACAGCACCAGTCCCCACCGCGGTGGCACATGCACCACACCCTGGGGCGCAGGGGCCTCTAGTAGATGGGTGGGCCCTCTGCAGGATGGAGAGTGTGATGGAAACTCTATTGCTCTGGGTATATGTCTGAGGCGTAGGGTCTGCAGAAGAGGGTACAGGTGCTTGGGGGGGGGAGGGGGTACACAGTGTGTACTCTTTAGGGACCTGGATACTCTCTGATACCCTGGGATAGATCTACTCAGGCAGCTGTGGGACCAGCAGTCTGACCTGGCCTAGAGGGCAGGACCACCATGTGGACACTTGCCCTCCTCACCACCTCACAGGCAAGAGGCTGACGCCTGACACAGGAAAGACTGATGTCATTCATCATTGCTCTTGTCCTGGGATACCTCGGCTGTGGCTGCGCCTTCCATCCACAGTGCCTCCGGCCCCTTGCTTAGGTTGATAACATCTCATTCCGCCTTTCTGTCTTAACTCTGGGGCCACTTCCTGCAAGAAGCCTCTCTTGGTCTTCCCAATGGAAACAACTGACCCTTCCTGGACCCTCCCATCTCGATTTGCCTCTCCCACCTGGTGGCGACTGCTCGGCATGCCTGGTATCACAGCAGCGGGAGTCCCAGCCTCTCCCTCAACAGACTCCATGCTTCCAGGCAAGGGGGGGAAGCACTGGCTAGCCCAAGCACGCAGGGGCAGTCAGTAAACACTGCAGAAAGGAACTCCACCAAACCGAATGGACCCCGCCACCTTCCTGGACAGCTACTCTGACTTCTGACCTTGCCCACTGTGGCTTTTCCTTTGCCCCTCCCTGGCTACTTCTGAACCTCGAAATTCCTGAGCCTAAGCTTGGATTACCCATACCTTTTCATGACTGGACCTCCTTCTCTGGCTAGCAGTGACCAAGGATTGGCCAAAGATCTTTTTTGCTATTGCTCCCAGGAAGGACGGGACACCTGTTTGCATCCAATTGCCCTATTGTGTTACCCTAGGGAGCTGTTTAACCCCTGTGAGTCCAACCTTACTCATCTGGAAAAAAATGGGACCAATGGGCTCTGCCCCTGGCTGGGTAGTCGTGGGACCTAAAAGACTAGGGTGCAATGCATAGGACCAGCACGACGGCCACCTGGTCCTCCTCTCTTGCAGAGGTGAGGCCACATCTCCCGCTACCCTGGAGTCTGCAAACCCCTCCCCTCCTAGAGGACATGTTCCTCTGGGAAAAGCTTCCTAGGCTGCTGTGGATAGAAGTTGCCCAGGAGAAGGCTCAAAGTCTAGAGGTGCAAATCAGCCCTCCAGCATGGCCACGGGGCCTTGGGAGACAGCTTTGCCCCAGTTTCCCTGCCTCCATTAGTTCCACCTGGAGGCCAGTGGGTCAGTTACTCAGGCTGTGGGACAGCACCCCCACAGATGGACAGTCCCCCGCAGACTGGCACTTACGAGATGGCCTCAATCATGTCCATGCCCATCTCCACGCAGCAGTGAGCGTGGTCAGCCCTCGCTTCAGGCAGCCCAGAGACACAGTAATAACAATCCCCCAGGATCTTAATACGTAAACAGTGATTCTCCTGGAAAGCAAATTAATTTTAAAAATTAAAAATAGTAGGAAAGAGAAGTGGGAGGGAAAGAAACGGGAAGCAAACAGATTCACCCCATGCCTGGAATAACTTGCCTTTTAGGGCAGTGAGCACAGACCCAGTGCCGGCAGATGCATGGCCCCAGCCCCAGGACAGGCTTATCGGGACTGGCGGGTAGTGGGGGGGGGAGCGGTGGAGGACAGGCTGAGCAGCCCTCACAGAGGCATTCCAGCCTCCCCAGGCTCAGGAACTCACTTTTATGGTCACTGCTGAGACCCAAGAAGAATGCAGTTGGTCTGATGAGGGAGCAAACAGGGCAGACTCATCAGAGTGAGGAAGGTCCCAAGTTGAGAGCCAGCCCCTGGTTCTACTGCCAGGCCCCAGAGAACGCTCTGACTCTTGGCCTAAGGTTCTACGGACAGTTTGCTGATTCTCCTTCTTTTACAAAAAGACTGAAGCAGAAATGAGACCTAACCAAAGCTCATCTGACCCTCAGCCTGAGACTTATACCAAAAAGAATGCTGCTAAACCAGCAAGCACATGAGCGCTAAGATACCCACAGAGCTGAAGCACCCGCCCACTGCTGCTCCTGAACAGAGGAACTGGCAGGGTCACCCGACAGTCAGGGTGACCCATGACTAGGGTTGGGATGGGATGTCGTTAGTCACCAATTCTCCAAATCTGGCCCCTAGAAGTTACTCCATGAAGCGGGATGCTAGGACACACCAGTCCGTGTGGCCTGGACTCTCATTTAAGGCCCCCCCAAAATCCAAGGGCCCAGCATACACCCACTCGCCCCACCCACGTTCAGTGATAGAAACAACCAGTGAGGTGTGAGACCCGCCATCTAATGCCCTTGGCGGCCCTGCTGCCGCCTCTGACCAGCACTGGCCTCTCATCAATGATCTGGTCTGGTGTCCTGAGAGGGCAAAAGGGAACGTGTCCACGTCGGTGATACCGCAGCAAGCAGCCCCTGACGTGCAAAGACTCTACAAAGGTCCAGAGCATCACTCAAAGACACGAAAGCTGGGAAAGGATGACAGTGTCAGCAAGGGCCTAACGAACGAACGCACAGTTCACCACTCCAGGCCCCGGGGTGCTACTTCCAATTTGCCAAACAGTGCAGCATCCTCTTTCCGGAAGCCTCTAGGGGGTGGCACGTAGCTGTCTGCAGGCCAGTTGCGACTCAGACTCATTCTCTTATCACTGGCCAACCTCATCAAGAAAATGGCTCTATGGCACCTAATTTGCCAACCAAACAGAAATTCCTCAGGGGCCTGGGCAGTGTTACCTGCGGGCCTTGCCGCACCCCCCTCCTCAGATGGAGGGCTCGCCCACTTGCCCCCACCGTGACCAGTGACAGTGTAAAAGTAAGGTGTGAGGATACGCAGCCCTTGCAACCCCTCT